GTTCCAAGCTAAATACTTTCGGAACGATTTAGAAGTAAATCCTAATGTTTGGTCATTTGTTCAGATTTTTGGAAATGGTTCGTGTCCAGAAATTTGCAGCACCTCCCCACCTCCGCAAGATTATATAAAACAAATCACATGGCCTGCTGACCTTTTCCACAAGAACGCTCAGAGATATTTGCGATAGACTACATGCACATGTAAATTTTGAGCAGGCATTTTATGCAACAAAAGTGGAAAGACATCTGCTCAAATTCTGCATGTTCATTTTTGTACAACAAAGATGGACAAAGATGGAAGACAGCTGCTCAAATTATACATATTTATGAGGTGTAGCGGTTTACACACACACACACACACACACACACACACACACACACACACATATATATATATATATATATATATATATATATATATATCAATCTGTGGTATGCTTTTTAGGTATGGTGCTGCATGCTGGGATCAGTTCTAATGACTTGGCCATGTTCCCATTAATTCAGCTGTTAACATAAGATAAATAGTAGATAATATCAAAATACTAAACAGCACTCACTGTAACGAAATACTCAAAATACTTGAAGCAAAAGAAACAACTCACATTAAATATCTTTCGCCATATTAAACAGTTATTTAAAGTGCATATAAAATATTTTCTTGGACTTAAGGTAAGGTGTACATTCACTTGTTATCATGAGGAAGAAAGCGGACAGACACTTGCTGCCACGTATGTTGGGGCATTTGTTATGACATAGCAATAATTCCAGATATCCTTATTTTCTTCGATTTCTTTTTAGAATAGTCAATGGGACTTATACTAGTTAAAACTTAATGTTGCGAAAGGGTAAATCCAAGTGTCAACCAGGACTCTCTGCAAATTACCTCCCCCTCTCATCGTTACCTCTGTTTTTGTTGTTGTTGTAAGTGTTATATGTAATAGGAGTAGGTGGGCTTTCCTACCGCCCGGTCAACACTCCTCCCTTGGACATGAGTAGAGGCTTACGCCTTGTTTCTTGTTTAGGAAGGGGTTTCCGGTACTCTCTATCTCTCTCTCTCTCACTGGCCTCTGTATCTCCAGTTGCCTTGATCTATCCAATACCCTTCTCCTAATCTTTTCTTCTATCACCCTATCTGATCTTGATCCAAATATTCTGTAAACCCCTTGCGTCCTAGTGGATTTCCGCCTTGCTTGGGGTGAAACGATTAAATATATATATATATATATATATATATATATATATATATATATATATATATATATATACGCAGGTTCAAAACCTGCCGGCCGGCGCATTTCTTTAACAAGATATCTCGAATGTTCAGACCGGTTAAATAAATATAATACTATTTAAAAGAAAGGAGGTTTCGACTCAGATACGGATATCCACTAAAAATAACGTTTAGAATAATAAAATCTGTCGGATTAAATAAATAAATATTCACTAATGCTTTATATATATGAGACATTTTTTATGCTTATACATTCTTTTTTTATAGATATACATATTTAAATAAATGCTGTGTTTATAATAAACAGTATAAACAACATTTACCGACCTGAATGTCCGAGAAATTGTCATAGGAAATATGCGTCGTCCGACAGTAATTGAACATGTATCCTATACGGGACCGTCATTTAGCCTGACGTGCTTTTACCGATTTCGCCACAAACGATTGTTCAGTAAGCCAGCTCGATTTTACTGTTTTTTAAACTACAATTTTCTATGAGTTTTTCACGTGCATTCATATCTACTCGATGCGTATCCAAATGTATACAAATTACGCCACACATTATGAAAGTCCGACAATTTAAGAGCCCTGCTTTTAACTGGTAAAACAAATTTTGAGATTGAAATTTAATTTCTTGAAATTTCATGAAGTAAGTGCGTTCAACATATATAAAATATTTTTACCAAGATTTCTAAAAACATTTTTAAATAATTTCATTCATTTGTGAATAAGTCCTCAAAGTTTCATTAAAATCCGAGTATTATTTGATTTTTTCAAAATTTCCAAATTAGTCTTTTTCTCCTTGAGAAAGACATTTTTATGTTTATACATTTTTTTTGATAGATACAAATATTTAAGTAAATGCTCTGTTTATAATAAACAGTATTAACAACATTTACCGGTCTGAATGTTGTTATTTGTATCTATAAAAAAAAATGTATAAACATAAAAAATGTCTTAAAAAATAATTGTCCATTTCATAATATATATATAAATATATATCTGTGTGAAAATATATAGAAAATAGGGAAGAACTCGTTAGGTAAATAATCCAAAGTTCTTTAGTATTTTTGTTATAATTTTAAAAAACAGTGCTCGATACAAAAGTAGAGCCTAAATATATATATATATATATATATATATATATATATATATATATATATATATATATATATATATATATATATATGTGTATGTGTATGTGTGTGTGTGTGTGTGTGTGTGTGTGTGAAAAGTATATAAATATAAATAAATATATATATGTATAATTATTTATATATTATATGCGCAGTACTTATTAGAATAATCTACATAAACCCAAATTTTAAAAAATTAATCAGTTTGTCTGACGATCGCTAAAGCGTGAAACCCAGGGTCACAAACTCACATCTATCCAACCATATATATATATATATATATATATATATATATATATATATATATTTGTGTGTGTGTGTGTGTGTGTGTGTGTGTGTGTGTGTGTATAATATTTTAAATCGCTACATAAATATTTCTATGTTTCGAACTTAAAAAAGGCGATGTTATATAATTTATGTTGAAAAATGATTTACTTGGGAAAGTAGTTAAAAAGGAACTGGGAGACGAAGAATCGAAAATTACGAAACAGAATTGTGGGCATTTCTTGATTAACCAATCAAAAGACGGATCAAAGCTAACATAGAAAAAATGAAAATAAGGTCAAAAGTTAAGGGTAGGCGGGTTATTAATTCATGTCTAGATAAGTTGACGTATTTGACACATACAGCACAGACGACATCCGGTTACGAATGTAAACATACAGTAAGCAGAGAGTTATATTAAGAAAAGGTTAATTTTAAGGAATTTCAAGACTTTAGAACTATCTTAAAGGGACATCAAGTGTAATTAAATCAATATATGAATAAATATATTTTATTAACCCTAAATACGTTACTTATTATGTCGAATTACAGTTGAAAAATCAAGGAATTACATAAATATTCTATGGACCATTATATATTAATATATAATGATCCCTATAACGCAATAACAATGAAGCAGATGTCACGAGAGAAGGCGAGGAAAGAATAAATAAAAAATAGAGAAAAAAGAAAAAGAGAGAAAATAAAAGTAACAATCAAACATGAATGAAACGAACACATTCAGATCGCAATAAAAGTACAAGAAAACTGAGAAATATTAACAGTCTCACTCTGTTCTGAAGATGAATTGCATCTGTGAAACTACGAAACGTTAAAGTAAGCCTGAGTTAGGTGAAAATAATTTTTACTTTTCATTTTTTTAACCCTCTGTCCTTATCTTCGGTACTGAACACTCTACCCCAAACCCTGTTGCATTAAATGGCTTTATCAGAAAACTACTGAAAAACTATCAATTTTGTCTTTAAAAGCTGTCTTTGAAATTTTCATTACACACACACACACACACACACACACACACACACACACACACACACACACACACACACACATATATATATATATATATATATATATATATATATATATATATATAAGAAATATGTTGTAGTGGTTCCAACGAGAGAAAATTATGTATATTAAAAAGAAGAGAAGAGAGGTGCCGCAAACGTTTTTGGTTGTAATGTGGATTTATTTAGAAAAAAATATTGTTTTGTTTTCCATAATTTTACGACACGTGTTTCTGGTCTCGCGACCGTCTTCAAGTAAAAGCGGAGATTTCCACATATTATTAAAAATAATTAATTTTTTCCTTATATGATGGACTCTCCCGTCGATTTCGACGTATGAGTTTCCGACAACTTTTTAATGACCTATATGTTTGAATCTAGAGTGACATTTCAGACCTGCTAATGACTTGCAAAGAAAACCACAGATTGGGCAAGCGTGTGAGCAAAGAGGGTGCACTTCTCTGGCACCTTCTGAGGCTTTTTTCCTTTCTCTTGCTTCACGGAGCTTGATAACGCTTGCCGCCGAAAAATTCCTGATTCCAATGTAAGTTACACTTTTCCAAGCTTTGCGATTCAAGGCAGTATTCTCCAAATCAGTGTGTGCAATATTTGCAGCTGCAAGGTTACTTTTCAGCTTATCTTTAAACCTGAGCAAGGGTCGGCCAACATTCCGTTGACCACCATCAAGCTGGCTGTACATGAGAATCTTTGGAATTCTACCATCTGTGTGTGTGTATATATATATATATATATATATATACACACACACACATATATATATATTTTTTTTTTTTTTCTCCCCGGAGTCGATCTTCCAGATCTACAAATCAACAATTCGCCCTTGCATGCAGTATTGCTGCCATATATGGTCTGGTGTCCCTTCTGTTTGCCTCGGGGTTCTTGATAGGCCCCAGAAGCGGATATGCAATGTAGTTGGCCCTGCCCTGGCGTCTCGGCTACAGTCACTTTCTCACAGACGCGCCGTCGCCTCCCTCTGTCTGTTCTACAAATACTTTCATGGAAATTGCTCCGAGGAGCTGCATTCGCTGGTTCCCAGACGTCATGAGTTCCAGCGCCCTACGAGGCTGGCATCCCGCTCTCACTCCTTCACTGTCGAAACTCCTAAATGTAGCCGTCTCTTCTACTTTAATAGCTTCATGTCTCGCACCTAACGCCTGTGGAACTCCATTCCTTATTACTGTTTCTCTGTGAGCTATAATCTCCAGCTATTCAAGTGTAATGTCAATCGACATCTCCAGTTGCCTTAATCTATCCACTACCCTCATCCTTTCTTCTATCACTCCTATTTGATCTTGCTCTAAACTTTCTGTAACCCCTTGCG